GAAGGAACAAATGGCGTATGAACCAACTTTTGGTCACCGGCTTCCATGGGACTGCATCTCCTCACGATGCTCCACTGCCTTGTGGACTAGACCTTTAGGTCAAAGGCTCGGGGTGTGGCCCCCTAAGAAAACCACCTGCTTCGGTTTGGGCACCCGGGCAGTATCTCAGCCCACACACCAAAACATGATGAAATATTCGCTTACGGAAAATATTCGTTCTTCTCTGACTAACATTGAAATGACTGATACTATTATTATTATTATTATTATTATTATTATCATTATTATTATTATTATTTACTACGTCATTTACTCACTATCTCCTATTTCTACTTTTTGTATCCGTTTCGACTCAGACAGCAGCTCGCCTATGGTAAAAATTCAGCTTTATCTAAACGTTCTCGAGTCACTGCCTGGTTTGAAAATTGTATGTTACCATCGAATAAGAGTACTGAAGCAGTCTTTCTGAAACCACGCGCACCATTCAAACTGGCTGCCTTTAACGTTCGCACACTTATGCAGGTCGGACAACAGATAGGGCTGGCAATGTCTTTGGAAAGTCTTAATATTGATGTGTGTTGTCTATCCGAGACCCGTATTCAAGACTCTGGTGAAGTACTACAAGTTCGCTCTCCATCTGTCGCTCCAAAAAGCTTGTTTTACGTGCGTTTATCCGGGGACCCTGTGGCATCTTCGTCTGGTCTTGCTGGCGTTGGTGTCGCACTAAGCGCAAGAGCTGAGGCAGCACTAGTCGACTGGATCCCCATTAACAGTCGGTTATGTGCTGTTAGATTAGAAAGTACCATCAGAGTGAGAAGAAATCGGCGTGAGAAACGATATCTTTTCGTCATCTCCGCCTATGCCCCGACAGATTGCAGCCCGGATGCAATCAAGGATGAGTTCTACCACCAGTTATCTGTTCTTCTCCAGAAAGTGCGTTCGACAGATATTGTAGTACTAGCTGGAGACTTTAATGCTCAGGTCGGGCGTCTAGGCACAGAAGAGAGTCGTTTAGGTGGCCGATGGGGACTCGTTGGTGGCAGGACAGATAACGGGGAACGTCTACTGCAACTATGCACAGACCACAACCTGTTTCTGGCTAGCACTAACTTTCGGCACAGTCATCGCCGATGTGCCACCTGGCGTCCCCCTTCTGCATCTCAAGCCTGGACTCAGATTGATCACATCGCGATCAGCTACCGCTGGCGCGGTTGTGTACAAGACTGCCGCTCCTTTTGGAGTACCTATCTGGAATCTGATCATGCTCTGGTCTGCGCCAATCTTACCTTACTTTTCAGTGGACAACGAAGTGACCGCCACCACAGGATTGATGTTAGCAAGCTGGCTGCAACTTCTGTTGCTAGTAAGTACCGAGCCGAGCTAGCTTCTAGGCTAGCCACTATTCCACCGAAAAGTATAGATGAGCATTGGTTGCAATTGCATGACGCCATGAAAATGGCGGGTCAAGTCAGCTGTGGGATTGCGAAACGTCCCGCTTACAAGCACTGGGTTTCTTCTGGTTCCTTACAACTGATTGAAGCCCGTCGGTCTACTCCGGGTGACCGTGAGTTTGACCACAGACGAAGGTTGTTACGTAATGAAATCGGGCAAAGCTTGCGTAAGGACCGAGAAACCTGGTGGTCGGAGCGTGCCAGTGAATTGGAAGCAGCAGCTGCATCTGGTAATTACCGGAAGCTCTTCCAACTCATCCGAGCCACCGGCAGCAAGAAGTCTGGTGTGAGCGAAACAATCTGCTAGGATGACGGAACGCCAATCACTAACATCCATCGACGTCTTGGACGATGGGCAGAATTCTTTGAAGGGCAGTTCAACTGGCCTGCTGCTCCGGCAACATCGGTCAGACTGTCCTGCCCTCCTTGGCCGGTGACGACTGATCCACCAAATGAGGCGGAAGTCCGCAAGGAACTCCAACTCTTGAAACGTTACAAATCACCAGGCCCAGACGACTTACCCCCGGCTCTTTTTAAAGATGGTGGTGACTTTCTGACTAAAGGACTGACGACGTTGTTTACAAAGATCTGGGAACTAGAGAGTGTACCAACGTCATGGAATGAGTCGATAGTTGTCCCTATCTTTAAAAAGGGTTCACGTTGTTCCTGTAACAACTATCGGGGGATAAGTCTACTTCCGATTGCGTCCAAGCTATTGGCTTCCGTCATACTTCGTAGGTTGTTCAGAACCCGAGAAGGATTGACTCGCGAGGAGCAGGCTGGGTTTCGTTCTGGTCGAGGATGTATTGATCATATCTTCACCCTCCGCCAAGTGTTAGAACACCGCCATACTTATCAAAGGCCAACAATCGTAGTGTTTCTTGATATCAAGGCTGCTTTCGATTCGTTGGACAGAACTGTTCTCTGGGATTGTCTATTGAAGAGGGGTGTGCCTGAGAAGTTTATTAACATCCTAAAAGCCTTATATACAAACACCTCAGGTAGAGTGAGGGCATACAACCACCTTTCTCCACTATTCCATTCAAGCAGTGGAGTTAGGCAGGGTTGCCCAATCTCACCATTCCTCTTCAACTTTGCCATCGATGACATTCTGGAAACAGCTCTGACGGATGTAAGTAATGGTGGTGTGGATCTGTTGCCTGGAGAAGGACTTCTCGACCTTGAGTATGCGGATGATATTGTCTTACTGTGCGAGAATGCCCAAGCCATGCAATCCGCACTTAATCAGTTGGCAATCAGTGTCCGTAGGTATGGTATGTGCTTTGCACCTTCGAAGTGCAAAGTACTTCTACAAGACTGGCAGGATTCTAATCCTGTACTCACTCTGGATGGTGAGCAGATAGAAGTAGTCGAGAAGTTCGTGTATCTAGGTAGCTGCATAAGTGCTGGTGGTGGTGTGAGTGATGAGATCAATGCACGCATAGTGAAAGCCAGAGCGGCTTATGCCAATCTGGGCCATCTTTGGCGCCTTCGTGATGTTAGTCTGGCTGTAAAAGGTCGGATCTACAACGCGACGGTGAGATCAGTTTTGCTCTATGCTTGTGAAACCTGGCCTCTCCGAGTTGAGGATGTTAGACGACTCTCTGTGTTCGATCATCGTTGTCTCCGAAGGATTGCTGGCATCCAGTGGCAACACCATGTCAGTAATGCAGAGGTTCGGCATCGAGTGTTCGGTCACAGAGACGATAATGAAATTGGTGTCACCATCTTGAAACACCGACTTCGGTGGCTTGGACATGTTCTACGAATGTCGTCCCAGAGAATTCCTCATCTTGCATTATTTGCCGTCTCTGGGGCTGGTTGGAAAAAGCGGAGAGGTGGTCAGTATATGACATGGTGTCGTGGTATGAAAGAAAGCTGCAAAGGGCTAGCTTCTGTTGGTCGTTCACGACTCCCTGGTTGGGGTCCGAAAGATGGTGTAACACAGTGGCTAGAGACGTTATCAGATATGGCTCAGAATAGAAGCCAGTGGCGATCCTGCTGTAACCTTCTTTTACTTTCTTCATAAAAAGGTGGTCGTATTCTTCCTTAACTGAAAGATCTGTTCTGATTGTACCTTTCCGTTTCCCCCACCATTGTTCTCTCTCTCTCTCTTCTTTTTTTATAATTCCCCACGTTCATTACTTTTTTTTTTTCTTCTCTTTTCTCCTTCTCTTCTAATTATCACTGTTTTGTGTGGCGCATATATATTTGGTGCCCCCCTGTACCAATATTTATGTGTTCAAATAAATAATAAATAAAATTTGGGGGCCCTCTATCCCGTACTCAGTTATTAACTTCTGCGACTATTCGTCTAACTTGGTTGTGTGTTGAATAATCGTCTGCTTTAGCTCATCATATGCCTCAGATAATGGAACATTGTTTGTAGGATCTGAAATTTTCGTGGCTACCTTGGTGGATAATATTTCCAACACAACAGAGTGCCTTAAAACCTGTAAATGGATATTCTAACACTGAAGCTGTACCTCAGCTTGTACGAATCATGTTCCATGATTAAGTCCACTAAACATACGCCCATTCATAGAATTTAGTGCATTCAGCTCTGGTGATATGTTAGGCCTGGCATACCTACAGGTCTGATTAATGCAATCAGGCTCCGACATATCCATGGTGAAGTATGTAAAAAACTATTACTACGAGTGAAAATAATGTAAAACTGTATATTCGTGAATCCAGAATTTCAATTTTAGAAAGCAATAGCGCTCATAAGATTTGAGGTGATTCAAACCCAAGGACATAGCCAAAATATATTGGTACATAAAAACCAATAGTTACGTACAAGTGACAAAACAGGGAGAATTAAATTCTAAAGAAAGGTACATAATGAATGGCGAAAATGGTAATGAATATTACTTGAAAGTCTTTTTTGAGAAGAAACCAGAAATAGGATCCTTTAGCTGGGTCGATGTTCATCTATATGCTTGGTGCATTTAACGAGTAAGGAAAACGTTGTTCTGCATCTACATTATTAATGAGGTATCGAGGTCTTTTTGTAGCAAAATATCACATCTGCTATAAAAAACTGATGGTTTCGGTTTTCCTTGGATTGAAAGGCATGTACTCTTTATGTCTCGTCTGAAACATATAATTATCTGTAATGTTAATTAAATCTACTAAAAGTCAACATTACAAATATTGAGATCATACAACCATGTTGTATAAAGAACAATTAAAAACAATATCTATTGTCTTTTAAGTTGATACAGAAAGTCGGAGATGAGGTTCTCAACCACAAAGTTTGTTTAAGATATATCACTGGATGCGATAGAATGGAGTTATTTTGCTAAAAATGAGGGCATTCGATGATTAAAATGAGTACGTTCTGTCAATGAAAATGAAGCAAAATAAGTAGTGTCAATAATGAAATTGGTCATTCTTATATGTCAACTACTCTCCGTTATTATTCTTAATTGTTTTCAGAGCTCGAAGGTTTTCATATAGTGCTACGGGCCTTATTATAGTTAGTATTACTGTAATATGGACATTTTTGTCTTGGTTATTCATTGTTGGGTTGTCTATTTTATGTAGGGTTAACAATGAAGGTTGGATGTATTCAGGCATATGGTAATCAATTCAAAATATCTTTATAAAATAACGTTCAAGATGCTTCTATGCTTACCTATGATCATATCGAAGCCTCCAATGTAATACAGTTAGCTAAGGAACTTACAAATATAAAACTACCAACAGATATTGAAGTAAGTAATAAATAGTGTTAGATATCTTAATCAATGTTACTTCGTTGTTTTTTTTTTGTTTTCAGGTGGAATGGCTGTTAAAAGCAATTTGCTTAATTGATTTAACCACATTAGCTGGGGATGATACACCTGTTAATGTACAAAGACTTTGTGTAAAGGCAGCTCATCCGCTAAGTGAATGCGTTTTGAATAAAATTGAAAACGCATTCAACGTGAATCTACAAGATTTAAGTAACAATCTGTTTTATATTTTAAATTTTTCTAATTATCTGTCGAATAGGAACAGCTGCTGTATGTGTTTATCCATATCAAGTTAAAACATGTGCAGAAACTTTTAAGAAATTAAAATTACCAAATTTTAATATTGCTTCTGGTAAATTTTAATTGGTTAATTATATTTTTATTTAATCTTTAACTATGATAAATATAGTTGCTACTGGTTTTCCTACTGGACAGTATCCCTTAGAAACTCGGCTATTGGAAATTAAATCAGCTATAAATGATGGAGCAAATGAAATTGATGTGGTAATAAATAGAACATTAGCTTTACAAGGTGATTGGGAAGGTAATTAACAGTGTACGAAGTCTCTTTACTATCTCATTGTTTTATTAAATTCAATATCTACATAATTCATTATACTTTCTTTACTGCACTTACATATAAGTCTACTATATATAACATAGAATTTGATGATTTTTTGCGAAAGTAAAAGATGGGGATGAGTATTTAATTCTACGACCGATTTTTGGTGTTTTAATACAGGAGTTTAAAAAATTGACGAACGTTGTGTATATCAGTTCACGAATTTCGAAGAAATGTATAATGGAGAGTTTTATTGGTCATTGATTACTATGGTAATGTAACTTGACTTTGCTTCACTATATTGTCAATTAAACCGTCAACTCAAAGTCGCAAAGAAAGGCACACTTACGATAGACTACTTTTTGGTCTAGATCAAAAGATAATATTTCAATTCTTGGAAGTTCTATGACTTTAATTGAAGATTTCATTGCTATTTTCTGTCTTTTGTATCAAAAATAAATCTTTCAACTAAGTTTAAAATGAAACGGTTCGTCTATGTCAAACCAAACGTTATTTGATCGAATTCACATGTATTCTATCAAACTAAGATGAGATATCTGTCGAGTAATCACTGATTCTCCAGCTGGAGACGATCTGTGCTTAACTCTATTTTTAGTCCATATAACTATAGAACTCGGTTTGTACTAATTTTTATTTCATTTTCCTGGTTGTGAACAATTTAGGCATTTGAATGGATTATGTAATAGTTTCTGCTATATTTGAGTTTAAAATGTAGTAGTAGGTTTACACCTTAAATATCTCCTAGTTCATATTTCATGGTCGTAATTAACTGAATACTACTGATATGTACCAAGAATTAATGGTAAATAAAATTCACTTTGATCCAGTCTGCTAAGCGTATAACTTGAAAGGTTATCACAGAGTATCTTCCAAATATTCTTACATCTTTTGTTTTTGAATGAATTGTTTTATCGCTGATATATTGTTGCACAAACAGTAAATGGTTTCATAATAATGATCACGATATTTTTAAAATTATGGTTATTTAAAGTGTCTTTTACACTAGTCTTGTTTATTAAGTCTAATTTCATTGGAAACTTAGCCGAGTAGGAATGTCTATCATCCATCTTCGTTTTTGAATGTTTAATTATGATATCAGCTTAGAAGTTAGTCTTTACTTCAACAATCCGTCTTGTCGTCATTACCAGATTATCATACTAGACGTGTGTTAACTGGTCATAAACACTTGACACATTGTTTGGCCTAAACAAAGCTGTGTTAAGTTTATGGAGCTTGACAAGTTGAGTGAAGTTTTAATTGACAAACCAATACATAACGTAGTGGAGTAACCGAAGTTAAAAAACAAAAATTTATTCCTTATTTTTTATTATGATTTTCTTATTTCAATGATTATTAAAAGTTCGTAAAATCTTTCTCATATTCTAGGAGTTTATAATGAAGTATGTGCAATGCGTAAAGCTTGTGGTGATCAAGCGCACTTAAAGACTATTCTTGCTACTGGTGAATTAAGCAGTTATGATAATGTTTATAAGGCTTCAATGGTTTGTATGTTAGCTGGAGCAGATTTTATTAAAACTTCTACTGGCAAAGAAACAGTCAATGCAACACTCCCAGTTTCATTGGTTATGGCTAGAGCTATTCAAGATTTCAATGAGATATATGGCATCAAGGTAAAGTTAGAAATTGTTCTGTTGGCATACCAAAGATTTTTATGGATTTCGCTTTGTTAAACTCAGTTTGTAGTCAATGGATGATTTTTCTCGTATGGACTGAATACTTAGTACCGAACTTCTTAGGATTACATTTACTGCTGTTGTAAAACTTATTAAAGCGTTACAGAGTAGTTATCTTCGCTAATAATCATCTTCATAGTAAATAAAGTATATGGTAGTGTTTATATGTATTTTAGCCTTATTAGTAGTACTTGTTTTCCGACAACAATCTAGCTATGTATATTTTGAGCGACAGTTTGTAGGTTAAAGGACAACAATTTCAACTATTGAGTTACGAGTTCCATTTACACCTTAATTTATGTAATCAAAGGATATCCACTAACTACTAATTCATCTATCACGCACAGATTCCCGTCCTTGTGAAGGTTGATAATAAGTGGTTTCCGAAACTGAGGTAGCTGGGTAGGGCTTGAACTTGCGACTTTGCGGCTGAACATTAAACTCTTTAACTATTGAGGTACCAGTTAAGTTCAGATAATTAAATAATGATATGTACTATACCTCACACAAAGCATAGCTTAAAGCCAATTTTTTCAAATTTGTATTTAGTAAATAAATTGAATTTAAGTCTAAAATATGCTTCATTGTGTTAAAGTCAGAAGTTATAGAGGAAATATCGTATGTTTTGTTATTATTCTTCGTGATTAGTTAACTATAACAGTAATATCTGAAATAGGTTCAATTGGAAAACTGATATTTTTTATATGTAAGAATGAGAATCAGAATTGAACTGTCCTGCAATCCTCATGATTCATTCATAACATTATCAACAATTCCAATTAGATTACGCACTCTAAAGCCCAACTATTTCGTTTTTTATAAGAAAAAGAAAACACAAACTTCGTATGATTGTGTTATCTAGACTTGTTAGTTTACATCAAACTGTAAATCTTATTGAGATTTACTAGTAAACTGACGGCTGGTTTATTTTTTATGCATGCCATATACCTTAAAATACTAAACTAACTGTAAGCAGTAGAATTAGATTGTAAATAGAGTATAAAATGAGATCAGGATTCACAAAGTCACTTTTATGATAAGAGTTTAGCAAAGTTGTGCATATTTCTTGAATAAGATCTTTGTAATAACAAGAGTGAGTGGCTTTTTACTCTGAATTTCGTGTCTTAGAATAATTCACAAAGGGGAGCATACGTTTAATCTTTGTCTTGATAAAAATATTATTTTTTTATCTTGGTATCTTTTAGTTTGAAATTTGTAATGTTCTGGGGGCTTAGAATTACACTTGTTCTTATAAGGTGATTCTACGTGTTGACTTTCCTGTCTAAATAGTGTGTTTACTGAATGAATGCTTTACACTATATTTTCATACGTTAAATATAATTATCTCTAGAAAATTAGTTTATTACAGTGTTATGTTTTGTATGGAGGATTTTTTATTGATGCGTCGTGTATCAATAGTCCGGTCTATTTATTTCTCATAGATCCCGTTCGTATGAAAAGATTCCGTCGACCGTTTTCTATCGAACCTTTACAAAACAACTCACTAATATTAATAATAATAATAATAATAATATTAATCGAGATCATGAATTAACCAACGTTAGACCACCATTGAACATCTGAAAGTACCGAACGGCCGTTTCGTCCTAGTATAGAACTCCTCAAAAGCGCATACCCACAATCCTGCACGTGGGATTCGAACCCAGAACCTTCGGTTTTTCACGCGAACGATTAACCTCTAAACCACTGAGCCGGATATGAAGCAGTTACCCACCGAAGACACTGGAAAGATGGTCGCGCAATTTTGTAGATTGGTTGAAGTTAGACATTAACACCGTTGGATTCTAGTCCAACAGTCCAGAGGTTGAGTGTTCGCGCGCGAAAACAATAGTCCTGGGTTCGAATTGGGAGTGCGTGATATCAGTACACACTACGGAGGAATCTATTACTAGGACGAAACAGTCATCCAGTGCTTTCAGGTTTTCAATGGTCGTCTAACATTGATCAATTCATGATCTCAATCACAAGTTAACAATCTACACAACCTTATACTGATATTAATGGCAATTGATTATCAAAAATAATATAATGCTATATTTGTATGAAATTTTCATGAACTTTAAATGATACATTTGAGAGTGATCAGTTCAACTTTTTTTTCATTGATCTTTTTTTTTTTTCGGTTCATATTTACATATTTATCAATACATGCTGACAAAAGGTAATTGAAATTAATTATTGACCCCAGTAAAACAATAATCTTTTTTTTTTAATTTTTTGTTAGATAATACAATGATATAATATTTATTTATTGTATGTAGTGTATTGTACTCTAACATGATGATAATGATGATGATGATGTGTTAGTATTAATGTGTAGAAATTTCTAAACCCTTGAAATTCTATGTTTGTTATTCTACACGTATATTAATCACTAATTAAGAAATCGTTTAAACTCTGTACATGATTTAAATGTATTAAGTTTCATTGATTAGTGTAATATAAATCATATTCATTTTAATGGATAAATAACTTTAATCTTGATAGGTTATATGGTTTTTATTTTTATTTTTATTTTATTTTTTTTAAAAAAAGAGAAAATAAACAACTGTCATTCTACTGATTAAATTGATTCAAGTAGTATATTTGTATTCGTATGAGGGTTTATTGGTCACTTTGTTATTTACTTATTTATTTATTTGAACATATAAATATTAGTACAAGGGGGTACTAGATATATATGCGCCATACTTCTTTTCGAAATCGTTTAGATAGAACAGAGTTTCCATCATAGACGGGCTGCTGCATAAGTTGAAAAATTGTTTGCAATGGCTTAGGTGCATTCACTCTTTTTGTTCTCTCATACTCTAATCTTCTGAATTCTTCATGTCCTTTATTTTCTTTCCAAATTTATTTCAGTGGACTATACTCCTTAAATAACATCACACCCTAATTTTCCCTATTACTACTTACACTTTTACTACTTCTACCACTATGGGATTTGAATCGATAACTGAATCTCTGTGCTAATGTGGTATGGCAACTCGAACTGATGTATGTACGTACGAAGTTCCACGTTGTTACTGACTGACTGAAAAGTGGGGGCACAAAAAGTGGGAATAAAAGAGAGTATATAAGTGATGTAGGGCAGGCTCTACCTATTCTCGGCCGTACCAGGGGATTTGGGGGCGTCACTTTGTTAAATTCATTTTGATATTTGATGGATGATTTAATTTTTGATAAGTCGTATTATCTTTGTGTATAGATGATGCTTTTCACTTGCTACTTATTGTTTAATAATTGGAAACTAAAGATTATTTAGTAACTATTTCATCATAGTATTGGAATTCTCATCAGCGAGCGTTCTAAACTTCACAGGAGCAGGTTAAACTCTAGACTTTCAGGTTTCAGGGCAGCTGATTAAGCTTTAGGTCTCTGAGTCAACATTCAATAATTGGCACTTTTAACGCAAAGTTTGAAGGTCTTCGGTTCGAGCCCCATTGGAAGTCTCAAGTGCATGTTGCTGAGAAGCTCCATACCAAGACGAAACAGCTGTCTGGTGCTTTCTGGTTTTTCAACGGTTATCTAACTAGGGTCAATCAGTGATGTAAACTTTAGAATTTGAGTCTCCACAAGTTTCTCAAACTAATAATACTCAATCGTTTGGTCAGTTGTTTTTTTTTAGTATGTATGTTCGATTGAAATTTTGGGATAGGTTCCGTAAGCACATTATTCATTGAATCTTCTCAATCGTTTACTCCATCATAACACATTTTAGATTTGCAGACAAACTATTTCATGTATTATCGTCTTCACTTAGAAATCGTCCATGATATTACTCTTTCATTTCTTAAGCTGACCGAAATACTCACTTAAACAATATTTTACTACCTTGAAATCCATTCTATGAACAAATGACTGGTTCGACTTCAGTTATTTTAGCATTTTTATCAAATCAGCTGAGTAGTGATTAAACATACATAAAATTGGTCAACTTACATTAAAAATGTTATGTATATTCACTTTTTATTACTCATTAACTATCTGTTTAATTGAATATATTCGTGGGAATTTATTATATTTGTAGGTTGTATTCGTCACAGATTAGTTTCATTTAGTCTACCATTAAACGGCAGGGTTCACGGGACGACTGGTTTATCTCAGTAGTGAGCGTACTCGACCCAATTAGGGATCATCGAATTATATCCTGAATTAAAACTGTACTATGGGACTTGATATAAGGATTTTAATGGTTAATCATTCACGGAGACCTGAAGGTCCTGCGTTCAGTCGGTATGAGTGTAGTGAGTGCCCACTTTTAAAGAATCATACTAGAACAAGACCGTTGTTCAGTGCTCTCTTGTTTTTCATTGTAACCTCAACTGTTATCAATTTGTAATCAATACAATTTATCAGTTTAAATGTTTGGAATCAACAATTTAAATATTTACATTTAATATTTATTCTCTAATAAACCATTTAGGTTGGCTTCAAACCTGCTGGTGGTCTTCGTACAGCTAAAGATGCTATCGATTATCTTCAATTAATCGATAATGTTCTCGGTTCTGATTGGATAAATCCAGATTATTTACGATTTGGAGCTAGTTCATTATTGGCCAATATTGAAACTCGATTATACAGTCTATGCCATAATGGTTTAATACCATTACCTGGTGAATTAGATTTTTTCTAATTTTTGTTTACCTCTTCTTTTTTCCTCGTTTTCTTTCAATTTATTCAATTTGATTATTTTTGATGATTATGTTTGCTTTATTTTCTTTGCTGCTGCTGCTGCTGTTGTTGTTGTTGTTGTTGAAAAAAAAGTCGTTTCTATCAATATATTTTTTTATTCTGATAAACCAAACGCTATTTATATTTTGTACACATTTCGTTTTGATTGCAAAAAGAATACAAAGAGGTGTGGCGACAGGAGTAGAGAGGAAAGCGAAACGAAAAAAATACAACAACAATAACAACAACAGCAACTGTATGTTTAGTTAATCGTTTCTTTTTGTTTAACAAAAAAAAAAGAAATAAATGACAAGGGGTTTCTATTTACGCTTATTCTCATTGGTTCCTTGTCGTTTTTCACTGAATCTCTCTGACACTTCTTTTTAGGTCTGTGTGTATCACACATCGAAATATATATATATATATATATATATATATATATATATATATATATAGTTGAGGAGAAAGGTCAGAGGACGAAACAAAAGTTAGGAAAGATAACAAAATGATAAAATACATTAATGAATGAATAAAAAAAGAAAAAAACAAAAGAAGTAAATCCATAATATTTGTAAATATATACGTCATAAACAAAAAAAATCAATACATTTTATTACATATTAAGATAATTGTATACTTTTTATTTTCTACATATTTACCTTAACATTCTGTTTCTATCATAAATAATATTGTGGTCATTCAATAATAATGATAATCATTCAAGAGAATTGTATATTATATTTGATTAATCGATATAGAGACTTATGGATGTATATATGTGTGTATGTATATGTGGATAAAAGACTAAGATAATAATGAGAAATGTATTAATATATGGTTGATTGGTTGCCGGCTTTAAGTAGTACACGAGAACATGTACCTAGTCATGTTTTTTATATCATTATTCTTCTTCGAATAACTATTATAATCCCTATGATATACAATTTATGAAATTAGATGGAAATCATGAATACAGGAACAACAATAAAATTAAAGAGATTAGAATACACACATACAACAAATATAAATGAAGTCAATCAGAAAATGATGATCTATCTGTTCTCCTATCATCTTTTAATTATTAACTATGATTGTTGAAATACTTGCAAAAAAAAATAATAAAGAAAGATAATACACATAAAACATCGTTGTTATGGTGATGGGTAGTGGGGATCACTATGATAAACAAAAACGTCAGTAATTGCATTTTTTTTTCCACTCCCTCTCTCTCTCACACCCTGTCTACAATTCGTGTATGTGAAACAATGTAAATCAGTAATGAAAAATGATAGGTTTCTCTGAACACATTTTTTCTCCCTTTAAATTTATGTCTGTCACTTATTTATTACTGTCATTTGTAAACATTATGATGTATACATCTTTCAACTTAAAGGATAGACAGAAACTGTAATAGGGATCAGGAAATGCGAAAAGAAATTGAGCAATGTTATATATATATATGGTATGAAACTAAACGCATATAAGTACAATAAATACATCATGAAAAGTGAGAAGGATTTTCAACTGTTACTCTTCATGGAAGTGTTTATAAGGGAGAATGAGGTGGATATAATCGTCGTCAGTGTTCTATCAAAACGTCAAATGCCTTTGCTACTCTGAGAGACACACACACACAGAGAAAGAGAGAGTGAATGAATGAAAAAGTACAAGATGGTTAATATATGGTATTTTGATTGTTTATTCATAAACATATTGAATACAATAGAGGATGGAACCAGATTATAAAATGGTAAATAATACTAGATTTTTAATAAAAAGATCATAAAATTTCAATGTACATCCGTAATGTTACTTATTTCTATATGTTTTATGATATCACTATTCATTTAACATATAAGAGATAGAGAGAGAGAGAGAGGTAAGCTTATTTATCATGAATTAAAAATGAAAAATAAACCTTAAGAAAAAGAGAATATATATATATGTAGAAATGTATGGGAATAGGGGAAACAATTCTAATTGAATGATTAATCAATAATATTTATATGATAATTTAGATCATTTTATTATATGTAATGAATCTAGTTCAGAAATGCACCATTCAAATAAATCAATATGTATATACATATAATGTATTCCACTGGTTTTGATCAATTTTCTTTCTTCAATTCATTTATTCATTCATCATTCACTCATTCATTCATTCATCATTTTCTTCATTATTATTATTCTCATTAATTTGATTATAGTACCATTCACGATTGTCTTCTAATGTTTCTAAAATAGTTTGTGCATCTGGATAAACTAAATCTGACCATGTTTCCCATAATGGATGAACAATGTAATCAATAAAGCTGATCTAATTGGTTACGTGCATGTATATACAGGATATGTAGCAGATTTTTCAATAAAATAGGGTAAATTTTGTTCATCAGAGGTGATGGAAGTGACAAAAGAGTAATCGAAAAAAAAACGTATTATAAAAGAAGCGGAATTTTTTTTTAAAATAAAAGTTTGAGACGAGATTTAGTTCCGTATTATAATTTTGGATAGTGACTGTTATTGGAATTAAGGATAGGCATTTTGTCTTATTCGGAAATCGGAATAAAGCTGCTAACTAGACGGTTGAGATAACCTGTTGTAATAGGCTTATCAAGCAATGTTTTCTCGAATACTCGTTTTGTCAGTTCTTATACTAAGGAAGCCTGTTGGAAAACGAAAAATTTTGTAGTGTCTAGTGTTATGTCAAGTCCACGTGGGTTGCCCTAGATTCCACACAGATTGGTTTATTCGAGCCACATCTTAACCTTGTTGATTATTCGCTTATTGACCATGATTGCCTTTATATGAGTAGATGTGTGCATTGCTTATCCTAATCATCATATGACTATAAATATTGAGTCACGCTTGGTTAAATCGAGTTGGCTCACTTGCTTTCTTCGCTTTGCTTTATCTGATTGTCTGTTCGGATCAATGAGTGTACGAAATATACGTATTCAAAGTTCATTCTCGTATTTGACTTATCTAATTCCGGTATTCACTAACATGATTCAAGTTGATAATTATATACGAGAGTAGTTGGGATGTATATTTTGATAACATCATCATACAATTTAATTCAAGTTAGATCAAGGCCTACAAAAGTGGTAAGCACAACTTCGAACTAAAAGCAACCTGAAAAAACTATACAGATGATAAACATTTCGAACTCTATGCATCCAATGAATGAACTTCTTTTGTTTATCTAAATGATGTATGGAAAAACGCATGTTTCAGTCTAAAAGGTACAGTAAATTTCTGTGGAGTTGTTGATATGGATTGTTGTTGATTATCCAAAAAATGGTAATCTCGTTGAGATAAGGAGGGAACTGTTACTGACTGTTCTTAGAGATTTAACGTGTACGTGTATTTAGATTGTCTGGTGAATATAATCGGATACAACACCATCTATACATACAGGCTTAGTATATGATGCAGTTGAATACCACATTACACTCAAACCGGCGTCTACATGTTCGCACTAAGTTCTGTCAAGTTACTTTGTATTATCCATTAATTTTGTAAACGAATCTACTAATAGTCATTTAAAAGTAAAGAGGACGGGTAGAAATTACGAACTATAGATTGACAGATTCCACTGTTATTCCGATTGTACTATTTGCTTAATTTTTTCATACTAAAAGAACCGGTGGGATTGTGATTCAATAAGTAATTGGTTTGGATCACATTAAGTTTGTTAAAGTTTGAACTCCTCGATAGTATTATTAATTTTAGTCAGGTGAATGAATTTCACAGAAATTCAAAACAAACTAATCTGTAACAACCAAGTCCGCATAAATAGACGTGTGGTTATGGAAATATATAATCTAAATGTTTAAGTGAGATTTGATAATGATTAATGATTGAATTTATTACAACTAAATCTATTCAGCCCAAACTAGATCTGATCTGGTTTTTGATGGGATGGGAGAATTCAATGACTAGTCAAATTCGATTATAAGTTATTGATGAGTGTTTCTACATGAATGATAAGATTTTTTGACGTTTGCATAGAAGCTTCTAGCATTTTAGTAAGATTAATTTGGAGAATTGTGTAAGTCGCATTCACAAAGTTAGCGATTTGAGTGTTTTATTCGGTAGAGAAGAATGATTGTAAGTGTTATGATGATCTGATTTGATTTTTTAGTAGCGATGGTATGGAAAAATGGCAGAATTTGTACTAATAAATCAAAGATGAATACTTTGTCTAATACTCCTTGAGGGAATATCAAGTGTACCATGATGTACACAGTGTTGTGCTAGTTGTCTCTGTAAAGGACTGTTATATTTTTTCAAGTTGGTCTATAGTATTATATTCGTTATTCATTAAATTTAGAACAACAATTCACTTCATTCATCATTATACTGAACAAGGCTACTTCAGTAGTACACAAATGTAATAGCTAACAGGACTGAATTGAGGAGCTGAAATGCTATTTAATTTTTCTAATATGTCGTGGTAAGGTCGATGGTGGAGAGAGTCCGCTCTTCCTCTCGAAATGCTCTCACATGGCCACTCCTATACAGCCGCTGCCAGGGAAGTCTTACTACTTTATTGTGAAGGGGTGTTGTTTACAAAATTGAAAAGAACGAAAAGAGAATATCCGGTACCTTAACCGGGTTGACAGATACAGAGGATTCACCTAGGGGAGTTGGAAAACCCTGGTCCCAAACCAATGATGCACGTGGACTTCAACATCTTGACGAAACAAATGACATATGAACCTATTGTCGGTTACCGGCTACTATGAGATTGCATCTTCTAACGTTGCTCCACTGCCTTATAGATTAGATCTTTAGATCAAAGATTTAAGACGTAGCTCCCTAAGAAAGCTACGTGTTTCGGTTTGAGTACTCGTACAGTATTCTAGACCCCACACAAATCGAATAAAGTGTGGTGCATATATATATTTAGTGCCTCCTTGTACTAATGTTTACATGTCTAAATAAATAACATCACTGACCAATATACAATTGACATGATATCATCATTTACGATCTAGTATATTTGAGAACGTGTGCTTACGGGGTATTTAACTCATTAAATATTTACGTGAATTTTCTTTTCTTTTTTTTTAACATAAATTTAATACCATCGTTCAATAAGTTAAATCATTGTAAAGTTTAATTTAGCATAACCATTATATCATATATATGTATAATAGAAATTACCTGTGATTTTTCAATAGTTGCTGTATTCCGATCACATATTGGACTTATTTCAATGCCTAATTCACGTTCTTTATCACCTTGTTGAAAAAGTTCTTCCATAACACGATTAGTCCATTGTCTATACAAATCTAATGGTTTAGCTGGATTACTTAAATCAGCACAATGTACCATATTTTGTAAAATCTAATAAAGAAGAATAAAGTGATGAATAAATAATAAAACTTAATAATAAAATTAATTGAATGAATTTTTTTTTCTTTCT